TTACAAGCTTGTTTATATAACTAGTAATAAACTAAATATTATTTGTACGTTTACTTTCACATAACTCACGCGTATATCATCATATTATATACAGTTATTCAGTGCCTGTCATGTCCATACCCGAGTCTAGATTTATTGCTGTTAGAATACCTAGGGTTGCCACGTGAGAGAGTATAGAAAAAAAATATTTATTGTATCTTAAACACTTGATAAATTATTATTTAAGGAACAATGGATTTTATCACTTGGTACAAGGCAAAATATGAAATTAATTATTACATTTTTATCCAACAAAGTAATATCTTAAATCTCGACCTTTGACATCGGCACACGTCCAATGCTGGCTACACATCACAGTGATTGTTGCTAACCGATATTGATCCGTATATATCCGTTAATGGATACTAGACGTTCCGTCGTGAACTCTGACCGCATCACGCTAAGATAATAGACCGAAGGATATTGATACAATGGTTTGGATACTCCAATATGTACCATAATTTGTAAACAATTTAACCTTCCAAGTAATACAGTATTAGGTTTGAATAGTTTAGTGTTGGTTTAGTTGATAAACTTACACATGATTATATTCATTTATCTATTTATTTACATATATACAAGGTTACAGGATGATGAATATATTGGATTTAAAATTTTTTAATCCTTTTATTTTTGACGTTTTAATTAACCGAATATAAATCATGATGTATATTTTAATATGTTAAAATACTTTGATCAGAGAAATATATGCATTGTATTTTAAAATCGGCAAAGCTTCGTACAGTCAAAGTTTCTGTGTTGCAATAAAATACGTTTTTTGTTTGCTTTCCGTAGCGTTCTTGCGGCTACTTCATCTAAACGGAAAATATTGGAGCGTTGTGGAAACCGTTGCGTATCTCGTTGCCAGATTGCAAGAGGCTTTTTGATATATTTTCTACTTGTATCTTCGATAAAACTCTTTTATATTTTACTTTAAAAATATATGTTACTGGCAAATCGTTTTTACCGTTCGTTTGTAATCGTAATATATTTATGAAAATATTATTATTATTTCAGGTTTAAAAAAAACTTATATGGGGTTTAAAGGAATATGTTTTGTCTATTAATTAATAAAAGTGATAAGCTAAAATACCATCACGCTACGACATCTAGGAGCTGAAACGAGTAAAATTAAGGGTATAGTTAGTTAATATAAACAGGGTGGGACTTGTAATGAAATTCCCGTCAGTAGCAAAACTTGGGTCGCGTTGCTTACCCAGCGTCATTATGCCACAACGCCGGCGGCGATGGAGATAACAGATTAATTAATTATTCATTTTGTTATTATGAAATATCGATAACTATCGATATAAACGACTAATGAAAGTTAACGATTCGTTAGAGTCGTTTATTTAGTTTAGTTGCTACGTTTTTTTTGTGCTAAAAGATTATTGAAGATTGGTCTAATTGAATTAATTTGCCAAATTTTACAAAGACGATACGTTGTCATAATAAACTGAAATCTTTTTTTTTATCTATGTAGGAAACTAATCTTGATTTAATTTCTTATAACATACTGTTATCTCTGTTTTGTTAAAGATGATGAGAGGGATGACAATATGTTTTATATTAGATAAATTAGATTAGCCGATTAATGTTGTATAAATAGTTAACTTTTTTATTATTGGTCTACTTTACAACTTTTCAATACAAATTAAGAATAACATTTATAACTTAAGTTCACAAAGCCGTTTTTATAAACATGTCTATTATTAAATACGTAAGTAAATTTTCCATATAAATGGATAAGGGATTAAGAGTATCCGAGTGTGGGACAGATTCATCTGAGATTGGATTACTAGGAATGATCAGCACTCGTAAATTCAGTTTTGGTGTGACTTATTACGAACACGATGTAAAGAGGAAACGGAACTTTATATTGTACGTGTTTGTATGAGATAAGAAGTTTCTTTTATATGCTATAAAAAGAATATATTTTATTACATAACTAACGATCGTAACTTAGAGGGGTAGGCAGTGACCATGGACCTCATTTTGGCGCGGTTCTAATCCAACTCTCTCGCTTCTTCTACTCATACTCCTTTGGATTACGAGCGTGAGTTATATTGTTGTTACTGTATTTCATTCATTCATTACAAACGAATAACACACAATAATTTTATCGTCTTTATGGTGAGTAAAATTTTAAAATTGTAAGCACTTGACTTGCAATCAGCAGGTCCTGCGTTAGAATCCCGCCATGTACCAATGTGTTTTTAGATTTTCGATTTACATAAGTACATTTATCCGACGTTCTTACGGTGAAGGAAAACATCGTGATGCAACCTGCACATATCTGAGAAGAAAAATCAAAGATATTTGTGAAGTCAACCAACCCGCAATCGGCCAGCGTGGTTGACTATGACCAAATCACTCTTAACTTAGGGTAGGTTCCGAGCCCCTCGGTGGGGACGTATAGTGAGCTGATGATGATATTTTATTAATAAATTTAATAATTAATTCCCTACTAATATAATATATCTATTTGTACGTAAATGTTTGAAACAAAACAATCAAGAACTATACGAAATAAATTCGTTTAGTTGCCCAATGTTATAATCGATCGCAGTCGCTCTCAATGAAAGCTTTTAAAAATTCTACAGACTAAATGGAAAAAATAAAACTTAGCCAGACAAACGGACGGCAAACGAACGAAATTTACGTAAAATGGCCGGTGTCGGACGCAGGGACAGA